CCCTTTCCACCCAGCTCAGAAAATCAAACACACAACCTTTGCCCAGGCACTTGGGTGACCAATGTGAACGGGAACAGAGATCAGTGACATGTTTGTCCCTCCCACCCTGGGCAGGCAGTAGGGAATGCAAGAGGACAGATTGGATAATGTGTGCTTTTGCCAGATCTAACATACATTAAGTGCACAAATCTTTCACTTAGGCATTTCAGCATTCAGCCTAACAGCAGCCCTCCCCTACGGAAACATAACGAGCCATCTCTATCAACCCCTCTATGTATCTTTATAACTCAGCTACATTTTGTATTGCATGGACAAAAAGCAGTGTAATAATTTCAAGTTTGAATGCTTCCATGAACTTCAGCAATTACTGAATCCCCAGGTTGCAGTAGCTGTAAAAATCTCAGTGTGTTTTTGGATTGACAGCAGAAAACATGTATCAATCATTTCTTACTTTTTATTTTAAAGGTCTTCATAGCACATTCTTATGTTACCCCCCAATTTGCTTAGCAGTTAAGCACACAAACATACTGATGTGAGTTCCCATCTCCCTGAAGACTAGGTCCTTTCACTGGACCGAACCAAACCAAACCTTCACTTGGTGATAAAGCAATCTCTTCATACCACTCCTTTAGAACTGAATATCATGGAATTATATTCTCTAAAATATGAGATATCATACCAACGTGCTAATTTGCAGCCTGTCTGTAGGAATGTCAGATTTTAAAAGTCTTTATCTTAAAAGTCAGTACAGCATTTATGAATAGCCTGTTAGTAGCACAGTAGCACTTTCTTGCACAAGCAAAGATGAGGTGGTGTGTTCTTGCCAGTTCTAACCCACGGTAAATTATTTTTAGCCCCATCCCAAAAGAGAGTTACCTCCAAACGCAGTCCCTTTCCATGTCCGCCCAGTTACAAGCTGGAATGGCCGTGTGGAGATCTCCTGGCCAGCAGCAGCTACTCCAACTATCACACTGACTCCCCAGCCTTTGTGGCAGGCTTCCAAGGCAGACCTCTTAGACACACAGACAAAGCAGTGTTTATTGCTGATGTCTATGCTGCTTGGACAGGTTGCACTTCCTTTCCCCCAATTAAGTAACAATAAATACACTGAAAATGTATTAAATTTTCCATTGCTTCAGATTCCTTATACTGCTAAACATTCACTTTGCACTTTTTATATCCATATATGTATATATATATATGCTGGTTTAATTCTTGAAAACCTAGCCTTACATTCATCCCTTACATTCTACTTCGGCATTTCCAAAGGTGAAAGTAATTACTTGAGGAATTAGGGAAATACCAAGCGGTCTCTGAAATTTTACTGTTCATTGTACCATGTATTTTTTATGTGAGTTAATTTTTCAACTGTCAGCATAGGAAAACTCAGGGTTTCAAAGAAGTCCCATTCAGCAAAATAAGTTTGTACATTTTAAGTGCCATTTTCAAACCAAGAAGTAGCAGCCTCTTTCATTACATAATTCGGATTGAATGCAAATTGACCTTCTTACTCATAGCAGTTATCATTACTATTTAAAAAAAAAATGAGTCTGGTATGTTTTCAGTAAGAAAGCAGCTCGTTTTGCTAGCTAGCTGAGAAATCAAGTGGCAGCAAGCTAGTCCCTCCCTCTACATCCTCCTGCCAGGCAAACACTCACCATGACTCCGACGTTTCCGATGCACTCGAACGAGTAGTCCACACCACCATCAGTCATCTCAACCAGCACCTCCTGTATGGGCTTCTGGAAGTCTTGAGGGCTAATGCACTCAGTAGCTCCAAACTCTTTGGCTTTGGCATACTTATCCTTGTTAATGTCAATGCCAATGATCCGGGATGCTCCTGCTATTTTACAGCCCATAATAACTGCCAGCCCAACTCCTCCTAAACCGAAGACAGCACATGTAGAACCAGGCTCCACCTGCAAGTAAGAACAGAGTCATGAGCAACAGAAAAAATTCATCCTTCCATGTGAGTGGGAACACAGGTTAACAAGTCTGTAATGAAGGCAAAATGGAAGCAGATATATATGGCTATGAGACTCTATCATTTAATTAAAGGAAACTATATAGAAATTTCATCTCAAATGCTCTTTAGGTACCAAGCTTTTCTTTTTGCCCAAACACTTGGCTCACATAAACCTGCCCTAGACTCATGCACATTCATCTGCCAGCTAGCTCTGTCTCACCCTGAGCTTCAAACTATCAGAATGACTTGCAGCAAGATTAAGATGAATTGCAAAAGTACTTTAAATATAGCTGGAATCAAAATGGATGCAGAATACTCTAACTGAGTTTCCTCTAAAGGGCATCAGGTTCTTCTAACCTCTATGGAGAAGTTAAAAATTCTTAGCTAAACTTCATCAGTTGAAGGGAAAGAAGAAACACAGATTTGGTACATCATGTTTACAGTCCTAATCTAGCCCCAAGCTATCTGTACCTTTTGGCTCAGGTGTTAGCCCAGGCTTTACCTTAGCAGTGTTAACAGCAGCCCCGTAGCCGGTAGAGATGCCACAGCCCAGCAGGCACACTTTATCCAGGGGTGCTGCAGCATCAATCTTGGCTACTGAGATATCAGCCACCACAGTATACTCAGAGAAGGTGCTAGTCCCCATGAAGTGGTAAATCTGCTTTCCTTTGCAGGTGAATCTGCTGGTACCATCAGGCATGAGTCCTTTCCCTTGAGTAATTCTTAAGGCAAACACAGGAAAATGCAGTCAGTTTTAAGCAGTAAATACTCTGACCAGACAGTATCCACCTAAGTAGCACAGAGAGGCAGCTGCATACTTCCACCTTTGCATTTTAATCATTTCAATAAACCCAGGAGTTTACAGACTAAACTCCTAAAACTTCATGCTCTTAATTCCCCCACGGAAGCACTAAAAGAAATGGGAGTTTATTAACCTGTTGCCCTTGTTCGCTACCAATGCTAACTGCTTGTGCCACGGTACCACACCACTGCCTTCACCTCCTGCAGTACCCTCCCCTTGAATGGCACCTGTCAGTTACGTCACTGGGGCCTTTGTTTGGGGTTGGGAAACTTTTTTTCAGAATAGGAGCTGGAAATCTATCTGGGAAGCAGGTGTTAAGGGAAAAAAAGAGCTTTCTGTATAATTCTGTACCACCTGAAAACCTTGGTGTTGACTCCCAAGAACGACATTCCCTGAAGTATGGATTAACTGTGGAGTCAGAGCATTTATGTTCTCAAATCTGTGGACACAAGCTACCAGTTTGCACCTTCACATACATGAAAACAGAGAAACAGATTTATTTAAAGGGGAAAAACAGAGAAGAAATTTTAAGGAAGAATGGAAAATAGTGCACAACTGACTCCTAAAACACCTACTTTCCAAGTCATTAAGTGAAGCATCAACAGATTTATTTTCCTGTCAATTGCTTTTGATAACTGAAACAGGTATACACTAAACAAATACTATACTGGGCATCAAAAAAAAAAATCATCCACACAGACCTTATCTTCTGGCACAGGTTTGTTTTAGGATTCTTACAGAACTTGCACTCTCCACACTGGGGGATGTATAGAGGGATAACAGTGTCCCCTGAGAAAAAAAATATCCTGTGACTAGTTATTGAGTCAAGCAAGGCAGTCTGAAAAAAATGGTTACTCGACTGTCATTGTTTTTATGTGAACTTGTGTTCACTGAAAACAGATTGAAAACTGTTTACAGTATACAGTAGTATCATTTAGAGTGCTAAATAAACCACCTGAATCATGTCTGAGCAGACAATAATCAGAGATTTGTTGTTCCAGAACAAATAGCAATGCTACTGTGAAACAAAACAACCCCAAATCAACAGTGAACAACATGAGTAAACACTTTAAGTCCTTTAATTAAACCATCAGGTAACAACTATTGTTTGGAAAAAAAAACCCCAACCCCCTTCTAATTATATCGATCCAATTTCAAATAAGAAATGGGTATGGTGGGCTCTTCGAAGCATTAAACCAAAAGCACATTGAATAGGTTAGTATTGTGTCTCACTGACAGAGAGATCTACACAGGCACACACCCCACAAGAAAACATTTCATTAACTCCTGCAATACAGCATTTCAGTGGCTCAACTTGAAAGCTGGCCTTGAAATAAACTAACACTTTTAAGGAAGGCATCAAATTTGTATGGTATTTTCTTACCCTTCTTTACTTTTGTTACTCCTTCTCCAACACTCTCCACAATCCCTGCTCCTTCATGTCCCAAGATCACAGGGAAACATCCTTCAGGGTCAGCACCACTCAGAGTGTAGGCATCAGTGTGACAGACAGCAGTGGCAACAATCTGTGAAGAAATATATAACCTGAGACACCCTGAAGAACAGAATAGAAGCACAGATCTAAATAATTCCCTTTGGTCAGGAATTCAGAACAATTGCCAGGACAAATTTACCAGTTCTGGCAGCATTTGTGCTATCACCAACATGTTTACAACTCCTGGCAAGGCACTTTTTCTTACTTTGACGAAGTCAAGTCATGACAGTACTTTTTTATAATTTCCATTAACTAAATTCTGACATTGAAATGGGTAAAAGATGATGTGGTTTCCTTGAAATCAGGACTCCAAGTTGTCTCAAAGTAGGTTAGCATCTTGGATTTGAAACAAGTTAGTCTCTCAAAAATGAACTAATGCTATCTCTTCAACATTTCTTCTACTGGCAAACAAACTGTTCAGCTTTAATACTGAATCTCCCAAAATACAATGCTTAAAGCAAGTGATTTAATTACCTTGATACGAACTTCATGAGCTTTGGGTGGAGCAACCTCCACCTCCTCAATAGAGAGAGGTTTACCTGCCCCCCAGGCAACAGCAGCCTTGCATTTAATAACCTATAACACAAAAACAACAACAAAAAAAGAGGACATCTGTTGTATGGTTCATTTAAAATAATTCTTGTTCAGCCAAGTGAGAAAATGAGAGAAACACTACTGGCTTTTGGAAAAAATCCCAGATCTGAAATTCATAATTTCAACACAAAGGTTTAATTGCCCCACATTTGCTTTCAGGCAGCTAAATAATAATGAGTAAACAAAGATCTGAAATTTGGATGTCATTCTCTTATTCAGCAAAAAATGTAATAAGCCAGGAGTGCTTAGGAGACACTCAAATACTGCAGTGAAATGAGCAACAGGAATGGAAAGACTGCATAATAAAAGTGGTGGTTTAAAATAAGAGACCGGTATTTGTTTCGGGGATGTTCTTGAAGCACAGAATATTTAAAGTTAAGAGAGTTCAGAAGGCAAACTGGAGGTCACACAATGGTCTGAGACCCACATCAAGAGTGAGTTTCTTGTTCCTTATCAGGATGGATTCCGAGCAGGATCTTGTCAAGGCTGCCATGCAGAGCCCTCCAGTGATGCTTAGGGACCAGAGATTTTGCTGTAAGGTTATTATCAGTGAGTTACTGGGCACTAACAACTCTGCAGTGGCTGCATGGATTACTGTTAGCAAGTCTTCATTCCCTGCTCTTGGGACCGTGACAACTCCTGCTCTGCAACCACAACTCTGCATCTCAGGAAGCTTTTCAAGACAAAAGGTGCAGAGCCTGGATGAAAGAGCAGGATTCTGGATCAGTAAACCCTATCAACAGGTACATATGCACAGCTGACTGAGAAAATCAGCAGGCTATGGAATGTGGAACAGATTCAGGTTCTAAAAGGATAAGGATCTGGAATGCCCTTTGTAGTCACTTTTACAAAGATGACTCTGGGTCTGTTCTTCAGGATAAAATGGGCAGGGTATCAAATAAACTGAATTTTGCTTTCTGACAGACACAACATCTTTCAGCAAATAAGGTACTGAACAGCTTCCTAAAATGACACAGGCAAGTTGTGAAATCAAAGACCTTATCTACATAAAACATGATGAGGAATGCTGTCACAGTCTAGACTCCTTTGGAACGGATCACTTTGCAATCTACTCAGTGTGCATGTGTTTTGGAATAATTCAGTTATACAAGAAGATTTGCACTGATTTTCTTGCATACAAACAAGGTCTAAGCCATTGCTATGCAGCTGCAAATATGCAGCATTTCATAGCATGTGCTATAAACTGACATAAGAAAATGACATTTTATGTGTTCCAACTAGCTGTGGTGTTCCCACAGAATCACTGAAAGGGGATTAATGCAAATTCCCAAGACCAGACATACAATCATTCAGCCTTTCTGAAATTTCACTGGAAGAAATAACAGTGCCCAGAGCACCTGTTAAGCTTGCCAGGTCTGATTCATCACCTGCAATCAGGAGAAAATAACAGCTAATAGCAGTTTTGTTGTACAATGAACAGTATCAGGTTTGGCCAGAACCAGTTAAAATCCTTACTTTACCTGTAACAGCAGAACTGCAGATGTTTACCTGGGCTTAAACTAGGTAAAGTACATACTGCCAACCCTAAAAGGCCTAAATATTTGTAACAGAAGACAGGTACCTATTCCTACAGCCAGCAGGGATCTAGATTGGACAGAAACACCCTCAGCCTAGAGCCATGAAATTCCCTAGTTCTGCTTTTTAATACCAGGGTAAATACAACAAAAATGCAGAGAATGTACCATACTAACTAACTGTGGAATCACAGTGTGAGCAATCAGTCATAATCTCTAGATCTACCGAAGATTTTGCCAGAAAATCTACATTCAAGGCACAAAGTGCAAGAGGAGCCATCAATTTGGTAAATCATTGACTGGTTTTCAATCCATCCCTCATCCTCCCGTCACAAAGTCATCACTCGTTCTCACCCAGGAGACTGTGCACTCCTAAAATCTGATTTGCACAGGCTTAGTTAAGCACAGAATTAAGAGGGGGACAATAAATTCTGATCTGCCAAAGACTAACAGCACACATCTGGAAGCATGTTTTGAAATAGCCACTTCTGGTTCAGAAGCTGTTAAAGCATCTGGATTTTAAACCTGCTGTCAGCTCACACAGCCACAAAGGCCCCTGGACTACTCAGCCTCATCCTCTGACCCTTCGTTACCCAAAGCTTTCAGCTGTTGCTTGGCTGAAAATCTTACAACCAACAGCTGAAACAATCCCACCGGCTCTGACCAGTTCTTGGTTTTCTCTATTAACACATTATTAATGAACAGCTATTAATTAGCAGAGGGGCACAGCGTAGGAGCGCTGTCTCACTGAGGAGAGCCCGGCTCGGGGCTGCCGCGCGGGGAGCAGTGGGTTGGTAAAGCAAAGCGGCAAACCTGGAGGCAACAATGCTGGGGGCGAGCAGAGCTCTGCTTCACCCCTTCACCGGCCGGAGAGCACCGGGCCCGCACGGCCCCACACGGCCCCGCGCGGCCCCACATGG